TGAATAAAACATGATGACTCTAAAATTCTAAGTCCTGAACTAAAATCATCTAAAAGCAGTCATAAAAATAGATGGTAAAATACTATTTGGCTATAAAGAAGGATAAATCTGAGACATTTGTAGGAAAATGGAAGTGCCTACAAAATATAATGTTGAGTGAAATATATCAGACACACATGCTTGAATATCATATGGCATCTCTCATCTGAGTAAGTAAGGCAAAGTATAAACTAAGAAAAAAATAAAAGAAGGATAGAGTGAGACAAGGGGATGTATCTTTTCCAGATAGGAAGGGGTCCAGGGGAAAACGGATGAGAGGTCAGGGGAGGGGATAGGGAAATAGGTAGAGTGAAGATATGCCAGGTACAAAGTCCTAATAACCTCAATGAATGTGGACATTACATGTCATAAACCTGAACTAAGATCAACAATATCAATATGAATGGAGAGGGGGAAGGAACTAGCGAGGAGGAAGGGTGGCAGAGGAAAGAGGATTAAAAAAAGAAACAAGCTGTATTATGTTTATGTACCAACTCCAAGATGATTGTAAAATGCATGTACTACAAACATGTACTAATAAAATAAAATTTTAAAAAACAGATGGAAACTTAAAAATCCTTGTTGAATCACTGTTAAAGGTAACTCCAAAGCACAAAAATACCAATTTTAAGTGAAAATAACAAAAATTAAGCTTGCCAAGATTAATCTTGACAAAATTTCTTTAATGTCTGATTTTCTTTTCATATGAAGGAATAGGAAAAACTAAATGAAAATACTGTAAACAATTTAATACATAAGAATAATTAATCACTGTATCTCTAGGTAAATATCTCTAATAAGCAATATCATGTATCTTCTAGAAATTTCTAGGAGAAATTCTTGTTTTATTTTGCTTTTTTTAGAGAACGGTCTCCCTATGCAATTTAGGCTGGCCTTAAACTCACTATGTAGCCCATGCTGACCTCAAACTCACAACAATCCTCCCGCCTCGGCCTCTGGAGTGCTAGGATGATAGGCATGTGCCACCACATCCAGGTTCTGAAACCATTTTATCCCCTTACACAAATGAATGCCTCTGTCATATGAACTACATACCAGCCATACAAACTGATAAATATATTTAGTTTTACTAGTTTATTAATCTATTGATCACATTAAATAACATTACTGCATATCAATCAGACTCCCCAAAGTTTGGATGACACAGAACTAACTAGTTCTCCACAATCTGATCACACCTAAACAGTTAAGACAGAATTTTTTACAGACTGTAGAAACCATTTAGGTTTATACATTCTATGACACTTAAGACTGATAATATCTGCCAAACATTTGTTTACAATCTTATCAATCCACTTGAGAAATAAATTTCTCTATACCTAACAACATAAGCATCACATTCTCCATTAACCCTAAAAATAAGCTATATACCTAAAAGAAATATATGAATATGATTCAGTTCCAATCAATGCTCCATTGTTATTGCAAAGTGGATTAAAATTAAGAGAAAATAAAAGTTTCATCCTCCACAGTTTTTTGAACTTTTACTTAAAATCATTATTCATTTATTCTTTATCTTAGCAGCATTTCCAAAAGTTATTTCCAATGGCTTCACTGGGGACTTCATAGGGCTCACTGTTCATTCACGTCAAGAGAGATTTTTGATGACTGTTCACTTCTTTACAGCCCAGGCAACTAGGCAATGTTTCAAGACAGCTGCCTCGGATGAAGAAATACTAATTCAGGTTATTGGTGCTTTGAAAACTAATCTTTAATAGCATTTATGATACTCA